AAAAAAAAAAAACTGTCTTCTAATTCAAGATCACAAAGATAGACTTCCTGTTTTCTTCCAGGAGTTTTATATTTTTGGCTCTTGTATTTAGGTCCATGATCCACTTTGAGTTAGTTTTGTGTATGTTGTGAGGTAGGGGTACAAATTCATTTTTTTTTTTAAGATTTTATTTATTTATTTGACAGAGAGAGACACAGAGAGAGAGGGAACACAAGCAGGGGGAGTGGGAGAGGGAGAAGCAACCTTCCCAAGGAGCAGGGAGCCCAATGCCGGGCTCGATCCCAGGACCCTGGGATCATGACCCGAGCCGAAGGCAGACGCTTAACGACTGAGCCACCCAGGCGCCCCACAAATTCATTCTTCTGCCTGTGAATATCCAGTCGTCTAAGCACCATTTGTTGAAAGAATGTTATTTCCACACTGAATTTTCGTAGCACTCTTGTCAGATGGCAAGTGACCATATGACCATTGACCATGGGAGAGTCTTATTTCTGGACTCTCACTTTGATTTCATTGATTTATATGTCTGTCCTTATGCTAGGGCCATCCTTTTTGGTTCCTGTAGCTTTTCAGTAAGCTTTGAAATTGTCCATTAAGTCCTCCAACGTTTTTCTTCCTTTTCAAGGCATTCATTTTTTTTTTAAAGATTTTATTTATTTGTTTGAAAGAGAGAGACACAGTGAGAGAAGGAACACAAGCAGGGGGAGTGGGAGAGGGAGAAGCAGGCTTCCCACTGAGCAGGGAGGCCGATGCGGGGCTTGATCCCAGGACCCTGGGATCATGACCTGAGCTGAAAGCAGATGCTTAACGACTGAGCCACTCAGGCACCCGCATTCATTTTTTAAATGTATGTCTTTTAATTCTCTTTTAATCTATCATGCCCTGGACCTTTTTTCCCTTTTACTTTATTTGTTGAAGAAACAGGGTCATTTGTGGATCACCTCTCCATGGTGTCATTTAACACATTCTTCTGTCCCTTGTGTTTTGGTAATCCAGCGGCCTGATCTGATTTAGATTTGGTTTTAGCACAGGAATAATTTGCAGGAGGTGTGTGTGTTTCCAGAGTCAGAACATAATGTAGGGTTGACTCTCCCTGTGATGTTAGGGGTCATTCATGATCTTCACCTGGACCTCCCCCCCGCCCCTTTAGAAGTAATTTACATTTTGAAAGGGTCACTCTGATTGCTGGGGGTCAGGGGGCTCTAGGTGTGAGGGATAATCGTGCAAGAAAGCACTTGTTGCCATGCCTGGCACAGAATGACCAGTCAATAAATATTAGCTCTTATTGTTGCTGTTGTTGTTGTTGTTAGAGCTGTGTGTGGGGGACCCACGCCCTGGCCTCGGAGCCATTTTTGGCCAGAGCGTTCTCCTCCCTCTCCTCTGCCCTGGAGGAGAAGTCACCAGTGTCCCAAGGCTCTGGGAGGCATGTTCAGGAATGTGACAGCCATCCATTTGCACCTGGCCGGGGTCTTCCAGAGAAAGAAGGCTGGAACTTCTCTCGCTCGGTGCTTGCACCAGACTGTAAGTGCTCTAGCCCCATGTGTTTTGCTGCCCAACCCAGGGCCCCTGGGATCTGGCATGGGCCTGGCTTCAAAGCTGTGCATCACGCTCTTCTTTCAGGTTGCCTTCCCTGACTGTAGCCTGGAGGGGACCCTTGCCTTGCCTTGCCTTTCCTCTAAGGAGAACTTGTAGCTCTGCATCTGAATGGTCCGCATGGTGCTGTGCTGCCTCCCCATCATCCCCTAAGCCCAGCCCAGTGTTCAGTACACAGTAGGTGCTCAGTAGACACTGGCTGAGGAATACATTATACATAAGGCCAAGAACAGGCACTGTCTCCTCACTTACGCGATTAGTGTGTGACATACTTGAAGGTGACACCTTTGAGGTCCCCCAAGTTTCTGTGGTCCCATTATATTTACTTCCTTCCTATTCTCATTCACCTCCTTTGTTCTCTCTCTCTTTATACCTCTGTACCCCCTACCCCTTACCCCACCCCAACCTTCTCAAACTTCCCTTGCTCCAACTTGCATCCCCCATCTCCCCGATGTTCATCTTCATTTTTTTAAGATTTTATTTTTAAGTCATCTCTACACCCAACGTGGGGCTTGAACTCACAACCCCGAGATCAAGAGTCACATGTTCTACTGATTGAGCCAGCCAGGCGCCCCTCTATTTTTTTAAATATGATGCATCCCCAAATCAAAAGTAATTCCTTATAGCATTGAAACCATGATGCCATCAATGTAAGATACACTGTTATTGTATGGACTAGTGAAGCGGGGCGGGAAATGCCAATTAGACATGCTAGAGATTCTGAGAAACATTTGAATTCAGAGAACATGCAAGGCAAAAAAAAAAAAAATGCACATATCAGAATCAATCCAATATGTGTGATCTCCATACAAAAAAATTGGAACCATAGAAAAGCATACACATGGGGCACCTGGCTGGCTCAGTTGGAAGAGCATGCAACTCTTGATCTCAGGGTTATGAGTTTGAGCCCTACGTTGGGTGTAAAGATTACTTAAATACATAAACTTAAAAAGAAAGAAGGAAAGAAAAGCACACACATGAAATTAAATCACCTATAATTCCACCACTCAGAGAGAACCTTTGTTAACATTTTGATGTATTTCCCTTCCAAACTTTTTTTTCGTCTACTCATATATGGTCATAGAAAAATGTACCTGTATACAAATATATAGTAGGGTATATTTTTTACAAAACAATCATACTGTACATATTGTTTTGTAGCCCGTTTTATTGATGTCGGCATATCCATTGATAGATATTTTTCTAAAATGTGATTTTCTTGGGTACCTGGCTGGTTCAGTAGGTAGACCATACGACTCTTGATCTCAGGATCGTGAGCTGGAGCCCCATGTGGGGCGTAACGTTTACTTAAAAAAAAATTATTTTTAAAAACGCGATTTTTCTCATCTATAAAATGGGCCCAGCCAGACTGTGCTGAGTTGAGCAAGGCCGTCCTAAAGGGGAGACGCTGCAGTTATGTTGGCAAGCTCTTGTCTCCCTCCCTCTGCCCCTCCCCCTCCCCCTCCACCTCCCCCTTGCCCGTCTTCCTCCTCAGTCCTGCCTAACTGGTCCGAATCTTGTCTGAGTCTACGGATACGTGGAGCCCGGTTGCGGGGGGGGGGCGTGCGGGCAGGTGCGGCGGCCGGAATGGGGCGGGGCCAGGCCCGGAGGCGGACTGGAGCGGGTCCTGCCCTCGGAGAGTGCGGATCTGCACCTCTCCCTCAAGGGGGCGGGGGCTGTGGTCAATTAAGAGCCCCATCTCCAGCACTCTGACCTTCTGCTTGCTTGGTCTCCAGTTCGCCATGGCCAAGCGGCTGCCGGCTCGCAGGCTGGACGGGATTGATCACAACCCATGGTGAGCTCGGCAGGGCTGGGGAAGCATGCGGGTGTCCCGTCGGGTGTGAGGGCGGGACAGGGCTGGAGGTGCCTGGGTTTGCGGTAACACGGCGGTACCCAGGACGGCCACCGTGCCCCGGACTGTGAGATTTGCAACCACAGCCTGGGAGAGGTGAGACCGGGAGCAGCAGGCCTGGGTTCGAATCTCAGCTTCACGCCGCTTGGCTGTGGCGCCGGGGGGAGGGGGGAGACTCACCTGCTCTTACCCAGGCACCAAGCTCGGCGCTTTCCAAGGATTATTTTATTTCCCACTTAGTACAGAGTAAAATAAACTAAGTAAGATAAGGTAAAATACAGGCAGCTCTGCACTGGAATTTGCTGAGGTTAATTTATTTTCTCTGTTGACTTGTTCTAAATATGAAAGAAGCATGTGCCCATTGTTGCTACTAATACAGTGGATGCAGTGGGAAGGTGTGTAAGAGAAATGTAGGGATTTTTCCTGATCCCTCCCCGCCACCTTTGGCCAGCAGCACAGAGGCTCAAACTCAGAAGATAAGTCACATGCTGTACCCACTGAGCCAGCCAGGTGCTCCGACATCCCTGTACTTTCAAAAAAAAGTTGTGGGCTGTTTTTACAAAACATGAGACCATTTTTTTCTTTTTCCTTTTCTTTTTTAGAGAGAGAGAGAGCAGGTGTGGTCGCACGGGAGGGTTGGGAGATGGGGGGAGGGGCAGAGGGAGCGGGAGAGAGAATCCTAGGCAGGCTTCATTTCCAGCACGGAGCGCGATGCAGGGCTCAATCTCGCAACCGGGAGAGCAGGACCTGAGCCAAAATCAAGAGTCGGACATTCAACCAACTGAGCCACCCAGGTGCACCGCCCCCATTTTTTTTTTTCAAACCCTCCTCGTGTACAGCACTTTGTGTTTTGCAAAGATCTTCCACCTGTTGCTCCATGGTGTCTGGGACAGAGGAGCCAGGCCCAAAACTCTAGTGTCCAGCTGCCCCCTGGGTTGTACCATGTTCCATCCTGTCTGTGAGGGAGGCTGGTCAGCCTCGTGGGCCTTTGCAGTTAAGGTAAGAGTCCAACTCCAAGGGAGGAAATGACAAGGAGGCAGGCTGGGAGAGGTAGCAAGACTTTCCTGACTCACAGACCTGGCAGACTCTTGAACCCAACACACCCATTATGCAGAAGGGGAGATTGAGGCCAAGAGAGGCCAAGTCTCATGCAAAGGTGGGGCAGGGCAGAAGCAGGCCTGTGGAGAATGTACGGGACGGGGTGGGGGGTTGCCGGGGGATGAAGGCCATGGTAGTCAGGACAGAAGGGCCCCAAGTTCTTGCTAACCCCAGAGTGGTGGCCTGAGGATCGGGACCTTAGAGACCCAACCTAGGGGGCAGCTGGTCTCTGTAGGGCACTTGAGCCTGGTTCCCCTGTTCCAATCACCATGGAACATCCGCCACCTGATTTTGCATCTCAGCTCTGCCCTCAGCTGCTGTGTGACTCTGGGCAGGTCACTAGCCTCTCTGATCCTCAGCAACTTCAGAGGTATTGTGGGGCTCTGGGGAGAAAATGACAGATTTTAGATGGAACAATAATGTTATGCAAATTCAACACAGCCAAGGCTGACTTCTCTGCCCCCAACCAACCTGCAGCGACACACCAGCCTCCTCATCCAGCCTCTCAGCCTCTCTCTGTTTTCCTGAGGAGGTGGCCACCAGCCAGGGCCAGAAGAAAGGTTGTTGGGGGCCAGAAATGGCAGATGGCGGGGCTGGTGGGGCCCCAGTCTGTCCAGGCTAATGGTCTAGAGCATAAACTTTGCTTCCAACCGATGTTGAATCAAAGGCTGGCTGGGCCATGAACTACCTAGGAGTCCTTGGGCAAATCACCGCCAGCTTCAGCTTCTCCATCCCCATTGTGACTCAGGAATAGGACATATGTCATATGTATGGGAAGGTTATTGAGCACACATTTCAAACTGCGGTTCGTGAAATCCACTTAGGAAGTCTCAACAAATATTTCTAAAGAATGGGTAGGATAGGGGCACCTGGGTGACTCAGTCAGTTAAGCGTCTGGCTCCCGATCTCAGCTCAGGACTTGATCTGAGGTTTGTGAGTTCAAGTCCCATGCCGGGCTCCACGTGGGGCATGGAGCCTACTTTAAAAAAGTAGGACACGGGATTGGCACAGTGCTTGGCCCACACAATCCCAAAGCGAGGGCCAGTTTTGACCCTTACACAGCTCTCAGCAGGATCTCAGCTGGAGCAGATGCTAACCGTCTAGTTTTTTGGGAATGAGCCCAGTGCATTGTTCATCCTGCCCTAGAAATAGGTGGAAGTCCAGGTCCGGGCGGGCTGGTGTCAACTCTCCATTTGTTGTTCAGGGTGGAGTTTGGCAAAATGGCCAGTGAATATGATGTCGTGAACTTGGGCCAAGGCTTCCCTGACTTCCCGCCCCCAGACTTCGCAGTTCAAGCCTTTCAGAACGCGCTCAGCAGTGACTTCATGCTCAACCAGTACACCAAGGCATTTGTGAGTCTCTCTGCCTCGCCTGGGGCCCTGGGACACAGGCCTCAAGGAGGCCCTGGGGGAGGAAGGGTCAGGCCTTTCTGAGCATCAGGCCCACATGGGTGTTAGGGTTCTGGAGCAGAGCCCAGAGAAGTCAGTGTGACTATAGTTCAGTGTTCACGGAGTGTCTCCTCTGTTCCAGGCCCTGGGACAGCTCATGGTCTGGGGAAAGACAGACAAAAAACCATGAGCTGGGAGCTCAGGGTCTAGTAGGAAAAGCAGACCAAAAAATAAATAAATAAAACAGAAGCAGAAAACAAAGGTATTGATATACTGTGATAGGGGAGGATTGGGTGCTGTGGGAGCAGGAAGAAGGGAATGAAATCTGGGGAGACCAGAGGAGGCTTCCTGGAGGAGGTGACATGTAAGCTGAGTCTGGAAAGACAAGCTGCTGACTGATCTGACTCTAAATCCAAACTCTTTATGTAAAGGTCACAGAGTAAATATTTGCCAGTCCTTGGTTTAGTAAAGCAGTAAATGGTTTTTAAACTTTGGTATGCATCAGAATTACCTGGGGGGAATTTCCTCCAGTTCCACCATCCAGAGATAACCACGACCAATAGTTTGCTACTTTGCTGAGCGTTTAGACTTTTAAACTTTTAACTTTTTTTTTTTTAAGATTTTATTTATTTATCTGACAGAGAGAGACATAGTGAGAGAGAGAGCACAAGCAGGGGGAGTGGGAGAGGGAGAAGCAGGCTTCCCGCTGAGCAGGGAGCCCAATGCGGGGCTCGATCCCAGGACCCTGGGATCATGACCTGAGCCGAAGGCAGACGCCCAACGACTGAGCCACCTGGGCGCCCCAACTTTTAACTTTTTAAAGTGCTTGTGTAAACGCACACACACTCACCCCTAACATAATGAGATTTGCGTTTTTTAGCACAAATGGACTTGTACTATAATGCTCTGTAACCTGTTTATTTCACTAAGCAGCATGTCATGGGCAACTTTCCATGTCAGGATAGCCTCATTCTTTTTAAGGGCCACATAGTATTCCCTTGCCTAGCTGTGCCATAATTTATTGAAGCAGCCCTGCCCTGATGGGCTGGTTTGGCTATCTCACTATTTTTTTTTAAAGATTTTATTTATTTATTTATTTGAGAGAGTGGCTATCTCATTATTATAAGCAATGGCACAGTGACTATTTCTGTGTCTGTATCTTTGTACACATGTGTGAGCGTTTCTCTCAGACAAATCCCTGGAAGTAAAACTAGAGAGTCAAAGGGTGCAAGCACTTAAAGATGTGATGGATGTTGTCAAACTGCCTTCCAAAAAGGTTTACTCACATCCCCACCAACACACTGGTCTCATACTCTTGCCAGCCGTGGGCATTATCAATCTTTTTTTTTTTTAATATTTTTATTTATTTATTTGACAGAGAGATAGCGAGAGCAGGAACACA